TTGTTGAAGTGAAAATATTAAATTTGACAGGAATGGAGGGGCTTTATGCTGGGGAAATATTTCTGCTGTTCTTCTGAAAAGCTATCGACATTTGAAAAATTCCATTTTGCAAGTATTCAGAAAAGACCTGCTAGAGATTTAGCTGAAAACTCTGAAGAGCCCATCTGCTGTGGACATACTCATGGCTGCACAGACATAATTCTTTCTGTGATTACAGCCAAGCACCACAAAATGTGTGCCTCTCTGGGACCTTTCTGTTGACAGAGTGCAGAGGAGAAAACAAATTAATTTGAATGCATTGTAGACAAAAGTGTAATTTAAGAGTTACCGGTTATATACATAGCAAAAGAAATGGAGGGAGTATGATGAATGACAGGGTGGGGCCATGAATTGCCTGTGTATATGCAGGAGACAGGGACTGGGAGCTCGTGTGGAAGATGAGGTTTAGATGATGCCAAACAACCAAGGTGGACAAAGGAAGAGAATTGAGGTTAGTTGAGAAAAGGGACCATGACTAATATGTGAAGTGGATGAGATGAGGATTTCAGGGAAAGGGGTTGAAAATGAACACCAGCTATATCAGGGATTAAATAGTGCAAAAGGGCTAACTAGTACTTTGGGAGCTGGTCAGTTGTTAAGCTGAATTATCTGGTAGGTGAGAAGACGGGAATGTAAAAGGCATAAGGAAGACTGTAAATAAGAGTCAAACAAAACATTGAAACAACATATTGAAGGTGAAATGCAAGGTTAAATGCAAGCTTTTAACACATTGGAAAGGCCAACATTGATACTGCTTCTGAAACTTTAATTTGAACCCTTGGGCACAAGCATGATGATACACTATTACAGCATGATGGTAGTCTATTTCTTCTACAGAAACCCAGCCTTACTCAGGGATGCCCATTATAAGAAATCTCCTCTGTATTTCCACAAGGTTATAAATTGAAGACTACAAAACTCCTGCTTCATTGGCTCTGGCAGTCAGGTGCTGTGAAATACATTAAGCACTGGATTGCTAGAAGGAAAGACACCTGCATGGAGATGCTGAAAATTAGGTTCCTTCTTTGCTTCTGACAGTTCTCATTTAATACTAAACAAGTAATTTTAATCTAACATTTCCAGATGGTCACTAATTTCACATTTTCAGAGGGCCACTTAGAGATCTGAGATCTAGTTTGAAATAGTGTTGGCTGGTCAGAGCTAAATGCTGCTGGAATAACACTTCAGACATGAGGACTTGAAAACTTAGGTCCTTGGCACCTTGGACACTGAATATTATAAAACAGTTTTGACTTTATGTTCTCGGTTTCCCACTCTATGGCAGTTAATGCTTCTCACCTTGAACTGTGCCTCGGATCCAGATGTCCCTCCAAATAGAGAAACGTAATTTAATTTGGTTATTCCACAACTGATTTCAAGTTGAATACCTCAATAAACAACTCTCTTATTTAAGAAACACTACATGGATTTGTTTGTTTCAACTTGAACATTTAGTTCAATCCTACATGGCTTTTGGCACTATTTTGGTTAGCTTATGATTCATCTCACTCAAGGAGTCAACTAGGTTCTTGAATTAAATACATAAGGAGTAAAAAACAATAGTTGTAGAATGAGAAAACCATTATAGTTTGCATTTACTGAATAAAAACCTATGAGGTTAAGCTTTGTAACTAAAATAGAACCTCCACTTTTGGTTAGAAACCAGAGAACAGTTTGGAGTTACAGTAAAATATCATGTAGACAAATTAATTTCAGTGGAACAATAGTCCGAAGTGTTGCATTCATTTTATTTTCAAACTCAGGAAACACAGACTGTAATTCTTTCATACCCAAGTAGAGTTTATTAAATGACAGCTAATGTAGCAAGATACAGAGCCAAAAGCCTGGGGTAGAAAAGGAACATTTTTTGTAGTAGTGTGGGAGGATGAAGCTCAGAAGAGCGTTTTATACCTTTTAGTGACTCAGGTATTACACACTCAGATGAGTGCCTAAAAGCAGAACAGCTTGCTATGTAACTTCCCAGGCTAGAGGACTAAAAGCAAAGGGTTACACAAGGGAAAACATAAGCATGCTTGGTTCAGCTGAAATCAAACTCAGGACATTCCTAATCCTGATCCTGGAGTGACGTTTACAGCTCATGATCTTGCAATCAGAAAAAAAAAAAAAGAAAAATTCACTAACATCAGAACTGGAGATACTGCAGAAGAATTTAAATGTGTTTTTTTCTCAGAGTATTAAATGGTGAAAACTTAAACTAGAACATGACAGTTGCCAAGTATGTGCTTCCCCCCCCCATTTTGGACATATGCACTGTGGCACCTTGCATTAACAGGTCTAGTATCACCTCCCCCTAAACCAAACATACAAATAACTTCATAGTAGAGGAAATATTATTCTCCCACATAACTGTAGGCTGTTGGCAGATGCACAGGAAGGCTCAGGCTCCTAAATTCCACAGAAAAATCTACGGGAGAAACAAGCAAAATCCTGAGACCCAGTACTGTTTCCTAATACAACTTTTGACATAACAGAGACAATCCTTTCCCTTCTAAAAAGGTCACTCAAAAATAAGGACTGGCTTTTGCTATTTTAAGCATGTATGAGGATGTATGCACACTTTCTCAAAAAAATTTTCCCTTTTCATAGAAAAAGTTAACAATCCGTTACAGAAAAATGACTTCAGCCTTCTAGGCTTTGAGACTGTTACTGCATTTGGATTACAGATCTAAAATACTGCAGGAGTTTTCTCTAAGCAATCTTCCTTTGAGGAAGATAATGTCTTGTATTGAAAACAAATTCATGAGATTATAATCTGAGACACTAAATACTTTTTAAACTTTCATTTAATTTTATATGAGCCCCTTGAAACCATAAAAGAGATGATTTAATGTAAGAACAGGATTCCCTTACCTTCTACATGAAAGAAAAGCCTGTGAAGGGGCTAAATTTTCAGCAGCAGTTCATTTTTCAAGTAAAAAGTAATAATTATATATTCAGGTCAATAGTCTGGAATTTTGGCCAAAAAAATCTGAAAACATTGTTTTTGGCATTGCAATAAGGTGACTTTAGAAGTTTCAGCAGGTACGATCTTTTGTTTTCACAGCCTATAGCCAGAAGGAGCAATTACACCCCGTAGTATTACCTCCTATATAATACAAACTATTAGGTTTCAGCAAGATCTGTTAGTGTATTACATTTAAAATTAAGATATTAAGTTAGATTAATAAGACTTCAATGCCCAGAAAAGTAAGAGATTATTTAGTTAGCTGCAGTCAGAAAACAGGACATACAAGGTGACACTCATGCCCAAGGTCACGGCAAGAGCTGACAGCCCAATAGGTGATGTGATCTCAGAAGATGAACCACACTTCACACTACAGAGGAAGAAAAAGTCCTCTCAAGTACTTGGCAAATCTAATATGGGGTTTATTTATTTCCACTGCCAGGTCTCGTAATGAGTCAATATCTGAATATATGAGGAGGACACATTAAGCAGGACTCTAAAACCCAAGATCCTTGGTATAGCATTAAAGCACAAATTCATTCTGCATAAGGTCCCATATCCAGGTGTGGTTGATCTCTGGTACTTCAGAGGAATATCAAAAAACTTGGGATAACTTGCTTACGTTTTGCTAATTGATCATGAGGCAGAAAAATGCTGTACTGATTCTTGCTGGTGAATAACTAAAGCCCCTGTGCATGAGATCCAATTGTAATGATTGCTTTACTGCACAGCTTTAGTTTAACCCACATGCTGAGGACACTGCCTACGATACCGCTGAGGCCTGTGAAGCATGGAGATAAACATCACTTCACTATACACGGACTTAGTAAAACCAGAGGGAACTGCACACCTATTCAGTCAGTCCAGTGGACCTTCTACACTTTTTCTCAGGAACTGGATTAAAGCAAATCTTTTTAGAATGAATCTTGCTTAAGAGTCTGACACGTGTCCTAAACTGTCTGCGTATTTTTAAATACTGTCAATTTGCCACCCAGTAGAAATTAAATCAGAACACCAATTTTATTTCTGATAGCATAGCACCACTAAGCTAAACTAGAGGGAAAAATAAATCCCAAGTCAGAATTGTCAGCCTGTTACTGTAAGAAAATGACCGTACAACTACTGATCCTTTGCCTTTAAGAACTGTTAAATCTCAAACAAGATAATCCACAAAATAACGTGGGAGAAAACTCAGATTTCAAATAGAAACTAATCAAAGATGGATATCAACACCAGTTAATGGCACAGCAAAGACATATTTATGTATACATTTTTTAATATATACATCTGCTAATGTAAGAAAGTAAAATACAGCAAGCAAGATAGTTTTTGTCTAACTCCTGCTTTTAAAAGCGATCTGTGGTTTTGACTGATGGTGTCTGACCAATGCACAATAGAAAAGTATATTATCAGACATAAGGCCTATTCCAGTTGTTTTTAATGTAGGATCATAAAATATTTTCTTGCATTATAACAGCAACAGTAAAGTGGCACTGGTGTGAAACTGACAAAAACAAGATCTTGAGTAGGTTAATGTGTTTTTGTAAGTGACCGCAAATAGCACTTGTGAATGGAAATGTGCAGCATCTACTTAGAAAAGCCATGCATTATTGCAGTATTATGAAGGAAAAGGAAAGGATAACATCACAAGAGGTCCTGACTCTAGCTGAGGCTCTGTGTGAATTGATGGATGCCAAACTCTCGAAAACGGAGATTTGTGGCACGTGAAGGATCGGGTGCTGTAAAATGTGAGCATTTACATGGGTTCTGTACAACCGGGCACATATAAAAACGGATTTTGATTTTCAAGTCTCTTTTGTCTCTGTTGGTATGTGACACCCACTACCTCTTAAGTACCATGGAACATACCTGGTACCTAAAATTGAACGATGGGCCTGAACTCTTGCATTTTTCCTGTGAGATGTGAAGTTAAAAGATTTAGTATAACAGACTTGATTTAGACAAGCAAACAGAAGCAAATATGATATTTACTTACTGTAGGCGCTTTCAGTACCTAGGGTTAAAGAGCCATCTGTTTCTCTGGTATAATTCCACTGGTTTCAACGGAATCAGGGCAGGGTAAATTTGATGCAATACGTTCACCTGGTCACCTAGCACACAGCAGAGACGTTCCCTTTGTGTGGAAGTCTGCATACAATCAGTTTGCCATCTAGTGGCAACTATTTTGAACACAGATGGTAATTTAAAACAGTAGCTGATATTTTAAATACCAGGGTGTATTAAATCATCTGAGGTGCATGAAAACATACCTTATCAGGTATTTTAAAGCCTCAAAGGGTAACTGCATGTGTACCCAGCATTGTACACTCAGGCTGGAAAATTTTCCTGACTCAAGCTGACTAACATAAAAACATTTCCAGTTGCACTAATACTTTCTGTATTGTGTGGCTGGATAGATATCACCTGTAACATTATACATGAAAGAAGATGGAACAAAATACTGATGATTAGACACCTTTTAATTCACCCATCTCTCCCTCCTGCCAGGTTACCTGGGATTGAAAGAAATGCTAGTAATGAAAATTTTTACATAGCCAAACTGTGGCCCTACCTGAGTAGTCTCAGTGACTAGAACTGCAGCTGCTCATGTGGGAAAAGCAAAGACACGGCCAAGTCAGATTGTTTGTATTAAGGTTATGAGTTACTAATAGAAAGACTAGTCACAGCTAGCAACCACATGCCATACCTCCTAACCCAAAGTAGCTATCAGAATCTGCTCAGGAAATGCAAAAAAGATGTACTTTTTGGTGGTGGATGGCGTGGTAGCACTTACACACTTACTTAAGTGGGTTTATTTTCCCTAGTTTTAATGCTAATTTGCTGTTCTTAAGAGTATCTGGACATTTATCTGCTTGTAGTACTTAAATGATATTTGTTACTATAATATTCCTTGCTTTACTGTTACTACAATATGTATCATGACACAGGAAATGTATCTCACATAAGGAAATACTGTTATCTTACTATACAGATAAATGTCTCACTGTTTCAAACTTGAAGTGGCAAAGACTTCTGCCCTTCCTTCTGCACAAGGAATTCCATAGATTTCATGAGAAGCTTAAAAAAACATTAAATCCAATGTCACAATATAGTGTTCCTAGATATGATTTTAAAATAGTAAAAAGATATGAGTCCTGCATGTCAAAATTCTACTGGAAGCCAATTCCGTAATGTTGGAGATGAAATACTTGAGAGCCAACTGATGTCAGTCAGTCTAGAAGACATGCCAAATAGCAAGTACTAGCTAACCCTGGTGAATGACAGGAACCAAAGGGTGACAAAAGGTCAGAGATGAACACAGGTCTTCCAATTTTAGAGTATCCTGGATTGAAAGTGGAATCCCCCAAACACTGAAAACTTGAACAATGTGATGTGAAAAATTGGATTTAGAGAAGATTTAGGCTGCTGAAATTCATATTAAGATGTCATTAGCTATTATCCTTCAGAAAATGATTTAATAATGAATTCTATTAAACTGGAGCTGTACTAAAGAGCTGTTGAAATACATTTTGGAGGTGCCATAAATACAATTTTTTTGTTTGTTTTCTGACAAATATCATCTGTATCTAATGTCAGAGAAGCAGTAAAATTAAGGAAGGATTTTTTTAGATGAGACAATTTATCAGGTTTCTGAGCTCAGTGATATGACAGCTTACACTGTAGTAGTCAAAAATAAAATATACATAGATGTTTCATTGAGTTACTGAATGCATCTGTATTCAACCTCCTATTCAGTGATCACAGACAAATGCTCAATTCATTGAAAATATACCTTAGCCCCAATTGCCAACGTAGTTGTGATAAAGTGACTTGCATTCTGTTCTGGGCCATGAATCATGGTCACAAGAGTTAATTAAAGTTCTAATGACAGGGTCAACAAGGTCAAGTGAATGAGTTTGTCTATATGTAATTAGGGCAGAATGGAAGATAATGAAGTTCAACAGGTGTAACTGAGAGCAGAAGCTGTCCGTTGCATTAAAGTGCTTGACTTCAAGATTCAAAATTGCTTTTGGTATGAAAAGTTGGGAAAAATAGCTTTTTACTTGTCAATGGAAGAAATTTTTCTCTAGAAATGACAGGTCTGAAAATAGACAATGGCCTAGCACCATCTTTACTCTCATTTTCAATCCTGCTGAACTCAATAATGTGAATAACATGATTGTTTCAACAGCATACATTTTTATTTTCTAGGCAAATGCAGCGTATCTATGACTGCAGAAAAATAAAGATAGATGAGAAAATTTTGCAGATGAAAATTCACTCTGGATGTGATTTGTTCTACATCAGACCAGTTTTAGAATTTCTGTATTTTCTCACATTAAAATAATGAGTTCAAACTAGAGACAGCAAATAACAAAAATAATGAATTTGTGGCACTTTTCAATCTAATAAGAAAATACATACTTTATCCTGACGCCTCTATACATACATTTCTTGCTCACAAGCTTGGTGTTTTTAAAACAGTTACTCTCCTCCAATACTGATAAATAGCAAAAGCGTACTCCATGAACAGGACAAAATGCATGCAAAGTAAGTTGCCGCACAATGCTAAGAACCCAGTATAAAGTCACTGAAATAGGTTTATTTAAACTCCCTCTTCGGAGAGCAAAGGGAAATGTGTCAATGTGTAAGTGTCCCAATAATCCTTCCCCAGCAATCCCCCAGCTGTATATTAACACATATATGATAGCTATTGGCAGTGCAAATTTCTTTCTGCTACCTTGTCAGTGCTCAAATCAGCCCTTGAATCAGAAGGTACACTTTTGCAAATGAAAAAGAAGTTCAGTTTCCATGCCCAATCAATACTGGTAGCTCTCCTCAGAGTGTCAGAAAGAGATGGTTAATTAGTGCCAGGTATTACTGTGCTGGGGGGCATCTGCCTGCAATGAATGAAAAAGAGACCGTTAGGTCATTTCATGGAGACTCCACAGTTACATCTACCCCAGTAAATTAAAATAGTGACTGAGAACATTTTTGGGCACAGAAATGGGATTGCATGTTAAATTAAATGATGATGGAGAAGCTTCTTGCCCACCCCGGTGAGCACAACTGGGGAAGCTGGCTCAGGCCTGGGCCATGCTACCGGGCAGGTTGCGGACAGGAGCCTGTCTGGTAGAGTACGCACCGGTTGTGTCATGCCATGTGGCCTAGAGCCTTCCTGGCACTTTCATGGTACTAATGTACACATAGTACATTGTTACTTGTTAAGCTGTCACATAACATATAAAATTTATAGTTGTATCAATTATAAAATAGACGATCCCATAAAATGTTCAACCATCCCAAAATCACCCATTATATCCTGTCAGCTAGATTTTGGCATTTTCAAAGGGTGAAAACCAGTCTTGGTAGCTGTTAGGTTATGTGGTTAACAGCCCACCTGCACACCCACGAAAGATCACAGAGAGACAATGTTGTAGGGGCAGCCCAGGTAATAGCATGATGGGCTGCTCCCAGGCTCATCAAGGAGAGCCACTGGTCCATCTCCACAGGCCCAGAGGAGCAAAGGTGCACAGTGGCAAGTGGGAACCCAAATTACAGCTTCCTGAGGAGCAAACACCTTGGCGGGTCTCCTTCCAGGTTTTTACCAGGAGAGCCTCGGCCCCGTTGCCCAGGTATGAAACCCACCGAGATGAGCCATTGGGAGCAGCTCTCCAGATCACATTTCAGGCTAAGGGGGTTACTGCCTAGGGGTGTGGGGCGCATTATGGGATGCAGGGGAAGAACGTTTTGGGGATTGCTCAGGATGTATTATGGAATGTTTAGGGGAGGAACCAAAAGCTGGAAAAGGAGGGATTTAGGTGGTTTGGGGAGGAATAAGTGTGGAAAGGTGTGTTTGTGTGTGAGAGAGAGCCTGGACCAGCAACTGGAGTGGGGCTGCAGCCTCAGGGGCTCATATGTCTGGATCCCAGCAACTGGAGAGACTGGGATCCAGGGTCGAGCTACTGGGCAGACTGAGTGAGCTCAGAACTGGAGGGACCTACGTTGTACCTGTGTATAAATATATATTCTCACTGGTGGGCCTCCAACCTACACAGCCAGAGAGGGGAGCAGGATGAGACCACTGGTGTTGTCTGTGTTTGCATGAGTATTCTGTGTGCCTGTCTGTGATCTGTGTGGTGTATATGTATATATATGCATATATGTGATGTATATGTACACTCTGTCCGTGTGTGTGTGAGCGCTTACTGGAATATATCTTCAGCCTTGCTACTGTTTGGACCTGGGGGCATGGGGCTGCAGCAGTCTTTCCTCTCTCAGACTGTTTGATCCCGCACAATACATTTTCCTCTAACAGTAGCAGTAATTTTGCAGCCCACTCCTCAGTTTTTGTGGGTCTAGTCCTAAAGAGTTTCTTCATCGCTTCACTGTACTCTTAAAAAATTCCCACTAACACTAGTTGAGATCCCAGAATATGTTCAAAATGTAGGCTTGTGTTAATCAGCACATTAAGCTTCGCAGCAGAAAGGCCAAATATTGATATTTTTTTTAAAATACAGACAATTAAACTTGGTCCTTAGACATACAGTGGGGCCAGGGTGGAAAGTTTACATTGCTGCAATTGTGTTATAGCTTCTCTCTGGATAAACAGAAGACTTCATTTTCAGTTCTATAAATCCCACACCATTCCAAACAATAAAATTAATTTCTAGTTTGAATAAATAAAGCCTACCAAATTGGTTCCTTTGCCAATACTTTCAAGCTTTATACTGAACTTGTTCACAAAGCCAACAGTATCAGTTAACAAAACAAAATATGTTTACTATTTTTGCTATTAATTAAGCCAACTCCTTAGATACAAGTAGCTTGTTGGAGTTAATTATCTCTAAAAGAATCCAGTTCATTTACAATTTGCAAATCAGAAAGAATTATACCAATATTTTTAGTTGAATTATTTTAGTACTATGAATATTTTAGAGTTTGTGAGCTTTTACACTGAAATTCAAGAAGACAACTTTTCAGGAGCTGAAAAATTCACCTAAAATTCACCTCTTATTTAATCAATTATATTGAAAGCTCTTTTACATGATATTATCAGGAATGAGGGCATTGTTAAAAGCAATCCAACAAATTTTGGAACTAATAGTAGATTGATACATTCAAAGCACATTCCCACTTCCATTTCTGAGATTTCCTATCCCTCAAAATTTGCCCATCTGCAACTGAGATTAAAGAAGGAAATAACCTAATTGCTTTAATCCTTATGGAGGTAGAGCCTAGCCCTCATACAATTCTATCTCCTTCCATATGGGAGCCAAGCTGTCATATTGAGGCTATATAGTGCATATATGATCAACAACACACTGTATGGGCTGTTTTTCACAGGATACAATTAAGCTATATTTGCTAAAGTTGTAACACATTGCAAGTCAATAAATTTTAGGGATTCTTTTATTTTAAAAAATGCATTTTCATCAAGTTCCCCTCACTACATTGACAGTCTTCCAGTCATTGCAGTAAAAGAACAAAAATAGTGTCCACTATTTATTTCTCCAAGTTCTTCTATCCTCATAGACAATGTAAGTGTAGTTCCTCCCTATCAGTAGATGGAGACAGAGTACACATGTTTTGATGTCATCATCCATCAGTGAATTAAGAATTTCTCTCCACACAACCTAGACAGCATCCATTTGGTTGGCTTTTGTATTTTCTTAAAGATTCCAGGATAATGAATCAACATACCTTGAAGTTTAGTAACTTCCTGCTTTTAAGACTTTTTTCAGGTTTTGAAATTACCTAAGAAATGTGATTGTGGGTCTAGCTCTACTTCTTACGGCATAATGCTACAGAGCAAACAATCAGCATAACAGCAACACAAATCACCTGTTAACTTCCATGAGAGATATTCATGTAATATTGCTCTATGATATATTTCTTCAAATTGTTGTTAATTATTTTTGTAATGCTATTTTATAGCATCATAAATTGTGGGCTTAAATGGGAACATTCTAAAAAGAAAACCCCATAAGTAATAAGCTTAGGCAGCAAACTCAGCAAGAAGCTTTTATAAAAATTTTCTCACAGTTCATTACTAAAAATTGACTTCTTGTTTTGGCCCAGGTAAGCAGATAGGAAGTATTGCCTGGGTAGTATTAAGTGCCTTTATCAGTTTCTCAAAAGAGATACTGCCCTATGGAAGTGTCCTTAATTTCATTTTCAAAAGGTGTCTTTAATTATTCTCCATTCACCACTTGCCTGTACTTATGCTTTTGTCACTGCCTCTTAAATCTTGTCCATTATATATCACTACAAAGAATGTACATGAGTACAGCCACATGCCAAATAACAGTATTTATTAACTATTCTCAGACACGTGAGGGTAAGGTATCAATATCCTACCAAAGTAACTGTTTCCTGGATGTTTCTGTAGGGCAAACCAGCACAAACTCCAGGGGTTCAAAAGTAATGGACTACTGTATTTCCTCACAGCTTTAATGAAAATCGGTAGTGTAGTGCTTCAGGAAAGAGTCTGTATTTAAAACTAGGGCTTGCTGAAACCAAAATATAGCATTTATTTTAACCTGTATCAAAACCTGTATTCTGTCTCCCCCTGCCGAATAGTTGTTATTATATTTCCTATAGCTGACACGCTAAAAAGAATTTGAAGGAAGTAAGACATAAAAAAAGTGATTATTCCATTATCTCGGCACTTTGCTAACAACAACACAACATTTCTTCCATTAATATTCACTATTGAGTGATTTAGTCAGTATTTTGGGTCACACACAGTTTCTGCCACTCCCAATTTTGATTTGATCCTGTTTACTGTGTTACTACAGTTCTGGTGCTTCCAATCTTGAAGCAAGGACACAACAGAAATATCATCCTTTCTCTTAGAGTATTAAAAATTTTCAACTGTGCAATAGGAATGGGAGGAACCTCTTAGGCTCCCCAGAAAATCCATGCCTACACCTTCCATTACATTGCAGTCAAATTCGGTAACTTTGGTTCTATCTCAATCTTTGTCTGATTAAATTGACTCTTTGTGAAGAAGTATGTCAGTGAATATAAACCCTTGTTATGTTTAATAATGGTCTTAGATTAATGCAATCCATTACTCTTTCAATTACCTTGCTACTTATAGTTATTGCGAAAGTTATGTGAATTAATTTTAGGTCATGGCTGTTTTCAGCTGATACTTTGGGGTAGATAGGATGCTCTCTGAAACCTTTTGTTCATTTTCAAATATTTTTTAATTACTAAAGCCAATATTTCTTCATTGATTTGTTACTTGTGATTATTACAACTGTTTAAGCAAATTAGTTTAGGGGTTTTTATTTTGTTTCAGTCTATTCCTTTGACATCACTTCAGCCCTCAAAATAGAACTTAACTGATGTACAGATTTTTGTGCTAGCATTTTGCACAGGAAGGAATTTCACACAGTACTACCAGTAATTTCCCTGATAGTATTCACAACCTGTAGCTATTGAATCGATGAGTGAAAGCTCTTGTTTGCTGAGTGCAGACTATATTCTAAAGCAGATGATAACATTTATTTTGTATGATTTAAAAGGCATTAAAAAACCTAATGAAGCTTGCACATATTATGTTAGTGATAGCAAAAAAAAAAAAGTTGATTCTTTGTACAATTTCAGAAGTGTTCTCTTGTATGATCTCCTTTTTCCAAATAACAGAGCATACTGAATCATAACGTGTCTGTAAAAAGTCAAATCTGAATCCATTAAGGAACTGCTCAGTAGAAGTTGGATATGCTTTAAAGCACACTAAATTTCATTCTGCAGAAGAAACAAAATATGATTCAGGAAAAGGAGAAGAGTCATAACATAAGTCTGGCATTTCTTAACCTAATTATACCTAAATTAATGTGAATTATACTTGATGTAATAAGTTATAGTCAGAAGAAAAATGTTTGCAGAGAACATTGTGAAGAATGTACTACTCCACATCTGTAGTCAATAGATTTAATGTTAGAAACTGTAAAACTAACTAAAAGTAGGAAGGTATAATAAACCCAAGGAACTGTGATCAAATGAATGCTGAAAAAAGCACATAGAAGGTATAAAATAATATTAATAATGTTGTCTTTAAATAGCCAAGTTATATTATAGATATGCTTCGGCTGAGTGTAGCTATGGAAGTAGAAACTTTAAATGAGCTAGTAGGATTTTCTTTTTGCTCTTCAGCAGCTTACAGTTAGCTCACAGATGGTTTCTGTCTCAAATCAGTTTAATCCAATTAACTCACCTCACTCTGTCCTATACTCACCTATAAGAATGCTTTTTTGGGCGAAAAACAGCTGCTTCTTCCTGCTGATGTTGGCATATGGAATATAGCAACAGCACTTCCTTTCACTCATCATGTGTCCATGGCTCTCAAGGTCAAAACTGCTGAAACCAAGGTAAAGGGAATTGAGTTTGTATAGTGTTGTATGTCACCAGGTAGTATTTAGAGAATTAGACAGCTACTGTGGGGCTTGGAAAAGCAGCTACTTATATTCTTACAGTGAGTGTTCTCCAATGTTCTCTTCCTAAAAAGTTAAATGAAAAGGACACCTTGTACTATAGTGCTGGTAGTAAGTACTGCAAAGTACATCTTACAAAAATATGTAAATATGTGGTGTAGTTCCATTTATGAGATATACTTCTTTGAAGTGTCTAATAAATTCTTACATTTAATGACACCAGTGTATTCCTAAAATGCTGTCTTTAAGTTGTTTCAACATATAATAAATGACTCTGTGGTTTTTAAGTTGTGGTTTTCGCTTTGAAATATTTGAGGGGCTAGAAAGGGAAAAAACAGTTTCAAAAGAAAATGTATTCTGAGATTTTAAAATTATATAACTTTAAATTTCTGTGGAAAGTTCAAATAAAAAATGAAGCAGAATATGATAAAACTGAAAAATTTTCAGAGGGTTTTCATTTTTATGTTATTCTTTTAAGAATAGATTCTTAGCACCGAGCTATGTGCACTTCCTTAGCTTACTCAACTGAGCAAAGCATGCTATACCTAATACATCACTACATCCCTAAAACAGGAACTAAGAATATTCTGGGTACAAAGAGAAGAATCTTGGGCCTTTGATGCCAAGGGAAGTTTGTTGCTAACTTCAAGAGAGGCTAGGAATTCACCTACTGTAATTAAAGGTCAACAGGTCATCGGCTCACAGGCATCCTTCAGCTCTGTGATTTTCACTTCAGTCCTGGCCTACCACTTTTATTACACTACAAATCTACATATAGAGCAGATACGGCTTCAAGGAGGCAGCTGCTACAGGAGGGGCAGCAGATAAAGGAGAATTACAGTAAATGTGCATCTGCTCAGCATAATGGAATGAAAATGATTCATACCAAAAATGTGCTGAAGACTGAACTTCCAATGCTTAGAGATGCTTTTCTGGGGGTAGGAGGTAGCATGGCTGCCAAACCTGCACGTGACATTGTAGTCAATCAACATCACGGTGACCATGGGGTGCACGGTCAAAAAGAATGGATCAAATGGGTTATTTGGTCAATTTTCATTTAGAATAGAGACTAAAGACAATGGAAATGGGAGAGCTGTATTTAGCCTTCAGACCAACCTGGCTGAAGGGATTAATCGTTCTTAGCTTTTGCTTTGTTTTTATGTAGGGAAAGAAGAAAATAGTAGGACCGTCCTGGACATTTACTTATTGACAAATATCAGTTTGTACAGGCATGATGGATTTCTCTCCTATTTTATTAGAAACTAAAGCTCCTTGATCTCTCTCCTTGTGGGAGATAGATGCACAATTCAATATTTATCACTTTACAATATTTAGCATATAAAAATAAGCAGTTTGATAAATTCACAGTACCCACCCTTCTGTCAATATCAGATGGTTCCATAAATGCATTATCTGCCACACAACCATTCAAAGAACTAAGGCCAGAAGTGAACTAATGCTAGAAATGTTTGAGTGAAGCTTCATCCAGAGAGGTATCTGGTTTTGCTTTGAAGAATCTATTATTTCCAAAGGCAGTTTGTTCCACAGGCTAATTGCCTTTGCAGTTAAAAATGTCCTTCATGCATCTTTTGAATTTGTCTAGCTATAACTTGCACCTGTTTACTTCTTGCAGCTTCTCTGATAGATTAAAGAGCCCTTAAATACCTGGTATTTTCTGCCTGCAAAGGTACTTATCCATCATAATCACATCAGCCTTCAGAGCTAAACAGATTGACCTCTTTATAGCTGTAGTCCTAATGAAAAAAAAAACCCACAACATTTCTAGCTATCAGCTCCCTTTTGTGCCTCTTCTCTGCACCTTCTAAATTTCTTAACCTACTTTAAAAATTACTGGTGCCGAAATGGATGCCACTTTGTCTTCCCAGTGCTATATTCAGAGGTATTTCTTCTTCCTTATTTCTATTCATAGTCTCCCACCTTAAAACCCAAAGTCTTAAGGGCTTGTTTTGTGTCACAATACTGCAAGAGAAGCTCATAAAAATGAGCTAGTATGAGCTAGTATGAGCTAATGCTCATCCACAGCCCTTCTCAGAGTCACTGCCTCCTTGAATAAGGGCTCCTTTTACCAGATTATAACAAACTAAATCAAAATGGAAATTGTGCTTCAGAGCTGGCTTATGTTTTACATTTTTCAGTGCAATCTTACCTGCCAACCAAGTTTAACTTAAAAATGGAGACTTAAAAAAATATTCTATAACTTTTATTTTCTTTTTTTTCTTTATTAATTTTGACTCTTTTGTCAAGAACATTATCCAATTTTATCCTCAAAATCTACAGCAGTGATAAGGGCACGCAAAACCCAGTTTCGATAAAAATACCTGAATAAAAGCAAATAAATAAAATGAGCAAGTATCTTTCAAACTTTGCAAAATGGAAATTATTTTTGAAACTTCACAATATTTTATACATTTGGGTTTTGGTTTCATTCCTTTAGTCTTAGTTGTTCTCCAAAGAAATCATCTTCCTTTTTAGTTACAAATATGCAATTATTATTTCTCCTACCTCAGTCTCTGTAACCAACCTATACACACATTTTACCTTTCTTCAGAATTGACTCCTATTCCTCTATTAGTTGTTACCTACTTTTTCTAGAATTCATTCCCACTGAAAATATGGTCACCATTCAAAGAGATATACACTGGCTTCTTCTGCACTGATATAATGCTTCACTATATGGGGTCCATACTCTCTGCTTGCCATTCTGATACACTAAAATATTGCATCCAGTCATCCATATTTTACTACTTCATTTATGCAGGGCCACTTTTAATGGATTTACTTCTGAATGAATACTTGTATTTGGAATATTTCATCATCTTAGTTTTCATTTTTCCATTTTAAATTTATTTTTGATCAACGTAGACAAGAAGTCTGGTAAAACATCAAAACTTCCAAACTCATCTGGTGTCAGCTCAAATCCATTGATCTCAGGGGAGATTCAGCATGGGATCTTGCAGGGCACATAAAAATGTGCAGGCTTAGGGCCCATGTTTACAGGTACAAGTGTATTTACCTAATAATGCAATCACTATAGTAATTATGTTCTGCTTGGATCATTATTGCATAATGGATCATAAATTGGAGATGTGTGGAGGTCTTACCAGAGGAATCAGGTAAAAACACATTGCTGGTTTCAAATATTTGATAGCCAAACTGAAGGAGGGCAAGACAATTCTTAACTCCTTACACGTGTAGTACGTGGACTAAGAATTTATACAACAGTCCACTCCTAAAATAGAACTGGAATGCTTTAATGGCAAAAGCAGAATGTTGCCAAAGATCCTTCCGTTCTAAAGCATCACGTAGCACAATATTAAAGATGGACAATAGGAAACTGGTAGCAGTTCTTTCTATGGTCATTGTCTTTCTCATGACTGTTTTCTATCTACATTGTTTCAGAGGAAAGTAAAAAGCAGAAGATGTGGGATGGAGGGGAGAGGCAGAGAAGAAAATGAGACAAAGAAACAGGAGTTAAACAAATGGCCATTGAAAGAGGAAAGATACAAAGAAGTTAAGAGAGAGGAAAGGAGAAATGACATTATAAAGCACTATCTAGAGTGAGGAAATATAAGACAATCTGGAGCCTATAGAAAAGAAAAACTGATTTTACTGACCACTTTACAGAATGTAGTAAACATCTTCAGTTTCATGTTCTGAAGCAAGCATACAATATTGCCAAAGCAGTTGCTCAAGTTTGATGTATAGACATGTCCAGTTCCGATGTCCCACGTTTCCCTTTAAAAAGATAAAACCCCAAATAATCATCTGGAATGTCATTATATTATCACAGAAAAACAGAAATTAAAGTGTTCTACATTGGCAAGACTATTATTATTATTACCAAATCATTTTAACCTTCAAAACATAATTTTACATTATACCTGTAGCAATGAATTCAAGTCCTAGGGTCTGCGTAAATCAGGAAGCCAACTTAGAAGATCAGAGATCTGTGATCAGAAATATGTTCACTTGAAAAGATCTCAAGGCATTTTATGAACTTTATGAGGTGAAAGCTAACAGGTTATTTTCTGGTTGCATTGCTTCTGAAACTTCAGTTTAGAAATGAAGACACTGAAATGGAATTAAAGAAATAACAATACCAAGGGATCTTAGAAAACATAAGGAAACATACATTCTTTGTATAATTCTGTATATAGTGTTTATCTTTTCTTAAAGATATAGTATTTGATCATAAGATAGTGGTTGCTTTATGAAACTCAGATTTTTGGGGGATTTTTTTCAATTTGGAGTTGGAATTAATTTAGAGTTAATTCACAAACAATTGAACTTCAAAAAATATGTACCAGGTATGCCGCATTACTTATTTAAGTTGTCTGCATCATTACCTTTGGAAGCACTGCAGTGACGTGTTTGCTAGAGGTTGAAAAACTTAACAGATACTGCTTTACAATTTTCTACATTTTATTTGTATTCAGTATCAACACACTTCCAAGGATGGCTTTTCTTTTAAGTTAAAAACTAGGCAAAAACTAGGTTAAAAACTCGTTAAGCATCTGGATGATCTTAAATTCTCAAGGTCTCCTGTGTAATAACTGTCAAGAAATGTACTTCTCATTCTCTGAACACTTATAAATTCAATAAATAGTTGGTATACAATAATATACAATAAAAACAGAGAACCAAGCATTATTACCACACACTAGGAGCTGAAAGGTACCAAAGAGCCTTTAGCAACTTTTATATAATCAGCAACAGCAAAAATTCTGTCTAAATATTTTCTTTTATATTTTTTTTCACTTTATGATTAATATAAATCTGGAATTTTTTTCTAACAATTATGTACCTAATGTAAACATGGAATTAGGTTTTACCCTCTTTTTCCCTTTTGCAGGTTGTTCTGGTGAACCTGTTGATATGCACGGTAGTTTTCTACACTGTTTACTATGTGGTCCTATCTGTGTGCTTCGCAGTATTCAAGTAAGATTTCCTTGTCTTTAGTCTAATATGATGGAACACTACAACTGGACATAATGGGTAAAGCCAGGACCCTGTAGAGGCAGCATCCAGACTGGAGGCATCCAGTCCCAGTTGTGCTGTGAATATGCTTTTCAAATTCAGTTGAATTGTTGCACCTGAACCTTTGTTCAAGTGCACAAATTGGCAAACGGAGACTCAAAACTAATATAAAATGTTAGTTCTAATCTACTTCCTTGCACTTGCACCATGTACATAAATGAATGTAAGAGGAAAGATGACATTAAAAAAGGAAAAGAAAGATTTTTATAGTTGATAAAAAAGACAAATTATATTGTCTTAGGAAGTTGATTATCATGTATAGTGCCAGACTTGTCTGAAATAAAAGTGGAGATCATGGACACTGTGTGCAAGGACAAGACCACAACACACAATGGGATGTAGAGAAATTGTAAAAGCCCAGAGTATTCCATAAGAAATCATATTTAAAAGCAGCTATAATATACAATATAATCACTACGACATTACTGGAAATGTCTGGTTAAATTTATTAATTCTATTTCCACAGGATTAAAATGTTGGATGGTTTGGCACCTTTTGATTTTAAGACAAATCCCTCATGGATAAACCCATATTATTTAGGTAACTGAAGTTTGTTTGTCTCTCTTTCCTCGGTCAAGAAAATAGATCATATCTGTATGTAAACTTGTCTTCTTTATAGACAGTATATTAAAGCGGTTTTAGTAATACTAATGATTTCTGTATTTTAACTACACTGCATTTAAATGCTTATTACTCTTGCCAGCACTTCTCATTTCTGTATTGCTAATTATCATTCAAGTGATTGTTAGGCTTTTCCTTGAGTTGTTCTTCTGATCTTGCATCATCAGAAGAAAAGATGTTGCTTTGCCAGGATGCTTCATTTTCACTGCAGAACAATTATCTGTTGTCCGTAAATTTCCTCCACAAAGTTGTTAAATTTAATTTTCATACTGCAGCAAATTTCTTATGAATCATTGGATCCAGATCTGAACAATAGGTCACATTCAACTAATGGAAATTTTGCTTTGGTAATGCTTGAATATAGTGGGCATTAAAATTTCAGGGTTTGATTGCAGCTCAATCCCTAAACATATCTTTATATACCGTAATACAAAATTCTGCATTTTTGTCTGAGGGTCTAAAAATACATTATTTTTCTCAAAATGTCATTCCTAAAAAATTGCATGCATACATGAAATTTTACCAGATTTGTAACCTATTTTACAAAGGCAAGACATGTCATCTGTCAGTAAAGTAAGTAAAGCTCAAAAGTAACTTGGTTAAGTCATCAGGTTAAAAAGAGTAATAGAAATGCATGGATATTTGTACTGTGTCAATACTGATTTCAGATGAAGAAAGAACATTTCTGTTGTATCAGTGAAAAAGAAAAATGAAATCATATTCTATTAGAATTACTTTTCAGGGCCCTAATGTAATTACTGTATCTCAATATGATGATTTTTTTTCCCAAAAGTTTTATCAGCTAGTTTGATGCAGCATGTTTATATGACAAAGACAGCAACTATATCATGCAACTGGTTACTATTCCACTCTCTTTTCTGTCCACCCAATGAACTAACGTGGAATAACAAAACATAACAAGATCTCTTTAAAATCTATGGGCACGGAGACAGAACAAAGGTCTCTGAATGATGTTGCAAATGAGAATTATTTTACTCGAGTGTCTCACTCATGCCTGTTAAAAACTGAATTTTGTCTTTAAAAGACAACCTCAAAATAAAAATGGAAGTCAGCTCAGAACTGAGGTATCATTACTGGCCTAGTTTTGTAAAAAATTTTACAGAGCATCTGTCTACACTAAGCATACTTCTTAAATTAAAAAATTATTGACATAATTTAAAGGGATTCATCATGAAATATAATAAACTAAAAATACTGAAATGCATTGTCAAACATTAAATTTCTTCAAGTGTTATTTCCCACTTTCCTAACTACATAGTTTTTTTCCAGTTATCTTTTTCTTATTTTTTACATTTTTTTAAAACTGCTGGGTGAAGGATCCATAATACAGTAGGACTTAATTGACCCTATAAGAAAAGAATAAAATTGAAAGGCACAAAATGCTGCAAAATGTATAAATTAAATGCAGTGAAAAAATAACAATGGTCTCTCTACTCTCAGATACAGTAATCTTAGGTATTACATTATTGTAACACTAAAAAAAAAAAAATCCATTAGAAATGTTACTTTTGTATGCCTGTGGACTTAAAAAGAAGAACAAAATGCATTTAGGTGGAAAAGTACATGAATTCCAAATGCGTAATTATGGCCTGTTGTGTGGGGACTCAGGACTACAGCTAGAAGAGGCATCACGTGTTTTCCGTTCAACCCCCTGCTATTCCAGGTAGCCACCCAGCAAAAAGTCAGACTTTGCCCTAAAAGTGATTATTTTTTGATCCCGTTATCCATAACAGCAAGTAAAGAAGGTGACAGCTACGCGCCACTCCATTGCTGTGTCGAAGAATACAGCTCAGCAAATGAGGCTGGTGGCACGGCGTGGCTGGGCACCCTCCAGAGGAAGCACCAGGGGACAGGAATGCACCATTTTGTCACCGAGAGAAGGAATTTTCTTGATCAGATAACTTTAATAGTCTCTTTTTGGCAGCATAATTTAGCTATTAGCACTTTGCTGGTAATCCCCACGCATGGTTCAACACAGCACAGAGCTAGCTGCTGAATGACAGGCATGGTGGCAGCATGGTAGCTGTGGCAGCCTTGCTATCAGCACTGGGAAAAGGCAGGCTCCTGCTTGTGTGCACCATGAGATCCACAGAGACAAACGGCCTCTGCTCACCTTGCAGGCCCTCTGCTCTATCTCCCCTTCTATGTCTTGTCTTTAAATTGTTCCGAGATATATATGTGTATTCTGGTATACACGATACATGATGCAATGAAGTCCACAGGGAGAAAGTTCTTACCAAACATAGCCCCTTAGCCACACAATTCTGTTTTGGATGAGAAAAATTTGATCTGTGTTAGTATCGACCAAATATATTTGGCACCATATGCAGGGTGTGGATGGCCCCTAATTAAAATTTCCTCACCATCTCTCCTCTAGGCTATATAAACTGTTCATAATCTTGTCACGGGTCATAATACTGAAAATGCTCATGTTTTTATATAAAATATATAACATTTTAAAGTCTATAGGCAAATCAGGTCACAACCCATGCAGATGTCTGTGGCAAAATTAGAAATCAACTTTACAGTGAAAACATTAGTTAATATCTGATCCTGTAAAAAAAAAAATGCATGACTATCTCAGACATTTTAACTTCCTATTGCTATCATGTTGAATATGACAAAAAGCCTTTCAAAACTGTGTTTGGTGTAAATAGTCTATTTTCATTTACAGTACTTGTGATATCATTGGAAATAACTTTCTTCATTTGTGGTCTGCTGTTTGCCCTGGTTGTGGAAGAATGGGTTTGGGATTATTCTGTAACAGTTACTATTATTCATATCATCATAACTTCAGTCGGTAAGTCAGCTTACAGCTAAATACATACATGGTATCACAAATTGAAGGACAATCAACTATGATTCAGCTACTCTATTACTGGAATAAATTAATTTTTCCTTAAAGCTAAATAAATACATATCTCTAATATCCATTTGACTCATCCATGTGTTTAAATCCTGCCATTCAAAACTCAATTCTGTTTTTGTTGCAGAATTTTAAACCACTATTTTCTTGTAAAAAAAAAAAAAAAAATCAGAGTTTTACTTTGTAAACTAACAGTTCCTATGAAACAGGTCCAACCTAGGTACAATTTCAGCATCTGGGAGGTGTGTTTTTCTCTAAAACAAGAAATTAATAGTTGTCCATGTCCTGACACTTTAAGATCTACTCATTAACACTTCAGCTCTAGTTCAGAGTAAAAATGAGGCTTGTTCCAGCAAAGCCCATTCAAAGTTTTTAAGTCAGATAAATTGAACTAAATCTCATTGAGGACAATAAAGCATTTTACCATCAAAGCTTTTTTTTTTTTTTTTTTTTTTTTTTTTTTCCCTGAAACTCTTCCCCTCAAAGAAAAGAAAAGGAAAAGCATTGGTGGCTGTAAATGAGACTCATCATCACTTTTTGCCAGCACCTGGTAACCTGCTCCCTCTTCTCATGCTGTTTATCAGAATGCTGCTATGTCTGATTAGGAAATATATTTTAACCTCATCTTGCCAGAGCCTCCCTACTACATAATAATTCATCTTCCATTTTCCAATGCCTTGTCCATTTGTCTTTGAGCACTTTACACAGATATGGATTCCCCAGTTCCCATTACAAGTTAAGCCAGAGACCAACAGAGACCTCATCTTAAACAATTAAGCATAATTTCTCATCTACTGAATTTGATTTCCTGGAATTTAAGCTACTATATTTCTTATTAATAACTTTTGTATTTAAATCAAGGAATTTACACATACTACAACAAAAACCGCTTTATATAATTTATACAGTGAGGTATCTTCTAACATTATATTAGAGGATGCATTTTGATGTCCAAACAACCCCAGATTTGTTATTGTTTTGTTCAGATGACCAACCAAAGCTCTGCTGGCTGGCTCTGAGCTGCTGGCGTATGCACTGTGCCTCCCACCCCACTTTACTACCGCTGCAGTCCCGTCAGCATTTTTGGGGGGGGCAATATTGGGTCATATCATGGCGCTGCAGCTGATCATACGGTGGGGATGTGGGTCGGCTTGTGAGAGCCAAGGGCAAGTGCCTGGCCCAGGAGAGAGCACGCCGCGCAGTAGTGCTCGCTCGCGGCGCGCAGCCCCAGCCCGGCTGTCACGCACCGCATCACCCATTAAACTGAAAATGTCGGGCAGCTTGATTTATTTGGGTTGCTGCGATATGTAGGCACTCTACCAGGGAATCGGTGTCTCTGTTGTGCTAAACCATGGACACGTAAGCAATATAAAAGGTATTTCTTCTGCAGAGAGTCTAAGAGCTCTGCTTAGCACACACTTACTGGGTTTAAGACTTGCCTTCCAGTGGGATCGCTCACCAGGCTAAGCTTAATGGTATGGCCAATTATCTGAATGATCAGGACCTAAATATGCCTCTTCAATTTCAATAAATGTAAAGTATATCAAATATGAAACATAACTAAGCAGATCTTTGATAACATAATGTAATGTTCTCATGTCCCCATCCTTATTATTTAAAACTTTATGTTTCTCTTTTTCTTCTCCTTGCAGTTATGTCTGAATTCCCCCTGATGTTACACTGGTGGCTGGCATTAGGTATAATTACATTCCTTAAAGTTTAAATTGTTAGACTCTGTGTAGAAAATTAGTATTTGCAGTATAAGTTTTTTCTATTAAATGTATGTTGTCTCACTAATTTCAGAATTGTCAACATTTAAAGAAGAAATATATGCTTTTCATTTAGACTTCTTTTAATGGCATTGGGCTAATATTTGCCTTGCCTTAAAAAAAAAATCCTGTTTTAAGACCAGAACAGACTCAGTTTATGTTAATATTACTAAAAAACAACAGAAACCCTCACATTCTTGAAATAAATCATGATTAAGTCCTGACTGATCAAACTATTTCACTTAATTCAGGTGTCAAAAAGACAGTTGTCCAAACTACTCTTCCTTGGTATTTTTTATAATCAATGGACAGAAACAGGCTACTTCAGAAGTAATTTTTATAAACACTGTGCACAGGTACTTATGATATCTGACATAAATCCCAGTCATCACATTTCATTAGAGTGAATGGTAAACCTACATTTCTTCATGCTTAATTTTCTGTAAAAGTAAAAGCATAGCTTTGTACTAGAATATATTAGCTTGTAAAATAATTGAGAGAAAAGGACTGGCTTATGTGCTTCTTTATTATGTGATGGGTAACAAAGATCAACAGCTGCAGTAAATTCCTAAATGACAGGGACTGGCAAATAAATTCCCTGTCCTACAACAGGTTTTGCATGAGCTCCTTCTGGGGCCGATATCTTTGTAGGTGGTTAAAGTATTGAGCAAAATGTTTAAGTAGAGAGGCCTTTTTTTAAAAATTGAAGATAAAGAGAATGTCTGCTTAAAGTTTTATCATAACATTTTCATTCCACTCTAAAAAGTATTATAAAACAGTCTTATATTTTCTTTCAGGATCTGGAGTAATTTCGATGACTTGTGGAGGACAGATTTTGGCATACTGCTTGTTCAAAGACAACTTCATTTACCCAATTCTAGATGATTTTTGAAAAGGAAAATTAGAACTTGCCTGTTTATTTATATGAACTCTATGGTTTCATTAACACCATAATGAAAATGAAGTTAGCAACTGCCTAATTGTAAGTCTAACGTTTATCTTACCAGACCTTGTCTATCTTACATTTGTTTGCAATGTCGATGTCATCACTTAGAGCTGTCGTATGTACATTTTCCATTAAACAAAAAGTTGGATACACTCTCTCTTTTTTAAAAACAAATGAACCATAAGGAGGATAAGAGCAATGATGCAAAACCCTTGGAAAATCCTACAAGGACAAGGTAAAAACAGATTTTAATTTAATGTTTTCAGGGTGCTTGTTATCTATTGTATTTTATGAAATGCTGACTCTAATTTAGGCTGGAGCCTGACCTCTTACAAGCGCTGCAAAACTGTAAAGTCACCGTATCTGGCATAAATCACTGTAGGTTTAAAGCAGTCTTTACAGGCAAACCCCTGGGAAAGAAGAATCTCTGAACATCACATAGCTCTGCATCTCTTCCTATCTTAAAGCTCTCACCTAGAAGCTGCCTAAGACAAGGGCAGGCAGATGTACAGTCCCCAATGTTTGGTTGACCCCCTTGCTTCCAAGGATGCTACAGATGACTTTTCTATAATAGCTTCAGGCCATTTTCTCTTTCGCTAATGATCCATTTAAGGTCTGGCTGTGCTGGAACAAGGAAAAGCAAATGCTACCAACAGCCACATTTTAACTTAGCCCTTTCTCTATCCCCCAGCTGCAAGTGGATAATGCCAAAGTGTGAGTTTATGGCAATTAAAACAACAAATAAACCACAGTAGTGGCTTCAAGTAACTTTGTCTCTTTAATCATAATAAAGTTGTAACAGAAAAATTGCTAGGAAGGCAACTTCATCTTAAATACGACACCAGTGATTCGATTTCAACTACAGTTTTCTTCGGAGAGCAAGACTGGATTGCTGTTTGCACAGGAGTGCTAAATGTTGCATCTACCTTAATCTTATTCAACATATAATGCCTCTGAAGGATCTGTCCCCTGTTGATCTAATAAAACATTTTAAAATTTATTGTAAGTTTTACAGTTTTCAAATAAGTTTCAATACTGGAAGAACATATACAGTGAGAAGCATGTTTCAGAAGACTCCTAAAAGAATGAGTTTGTCTCTTATGAATGATAGATATGTAACTCATTTTAGAGACAAACCAGGTATGTAAATCCATAGCACTGAACAGACATAGACTTTACAAGTTGTTCAGTGTAACACGCTACGTACTGAAGTCAGCAGAGATAATTCAAGAGAGTGAATTAACTGACCTGCACTGATCACTGGCCTGAATCATGGACTGTTTATAGTTTGATGGATTTGTCTCGCCAGAAACATTAGTGTGCAGATAACTGACTGGTATTATGTGTTTGAAAAATATTTGCACATTTCTTCCAGATTCATTTCAGTTCAGAACTATAAAAAAGGATGGGAAGGAAGTACCATCTAAAGCAAATTCATACCTCTGTCCTCGTCCTCACACAGTTTGTGTGTGTAGGTTGTGTGCCATGTGGCAGAACACGAGTGGATTAGATATAAAGTTAATCCATGGGTGGAACAAGTTTCTATTCTTAACCTGACAGGATTTTCCTCTATGTGTGTCAGCCCAGCTGCATCTTCTACAAGCTCTGTTGCCCAGCCCAGACATTTTTAACTTTTGTTTTCTATTTAAAACCTTAAATCACCAGCAAGAGATCCCTTCAGACTAATATGGATAGTGCTTTAGTCCCAGGATTTCTCCAAAGCATGTACAATTAGGCCAATGCTAGAAAAACAATCACAGCAAGAACTCTATTGAGGACTAAAAGCCTGAGTCCTGCTATTAGAGTCATTAGTTTTTGCATGACTTTCAGATATTGAATGGTGAGCCAATTTCAACGTTATTTATTTCATCTTTTCCATCATTTCTATGTTGAGCAACAATGAAAATTATCACACATAATATAGTTTAAAGTAGTTAAAGTTCATATTGTACAACTAAATATTAATCATGGAAGCAATAGGAGCTATATCTGTGTGGGCATTACTTGTTTAGAGGCCTTCAGAGATAATATCTAACACTGTGTGATTTCTATCTGATACACCAATATGGTACTTTTTAATATGACAAACCTGGCTGTTTCTGGAACAATAATAAGGTGATCCACCTGGGCAATTTGCATGTGACTAATTGATAACAGTCAAGATGCAGGTGGGAAAAAAGAGTTGCTGGAGGAAAAGAAGCACAGTGTATGTGTTTCACAACAGACCTGCCAAAAACTACAAGAAAAGACTGCTACAGGAAGCAAAAGGAAAACAGAGAAAATATCAACAGGGACGTGTGTCTGAAAAAAACACACAGTGAAAGCAAGAAACGAGAAGACATAAATGGACAAAATCAGTGAAAGAAATAAAAATTTGCTGACTGTAGCACTGGAGTCTCAAGACATGAGACTCGTATGCCACTTGTACACCTCAAACTGTTTTTCTGCTGATGTATACATGACTCCAGGAAAGGTGGTCTCTACATCCATAATCTGTGTTTACCAGCACAATCTGTGCCTGTGGCTCCTGCCCTGGGATTTTCAGAATTCATTGCTCTCTAACTCAGCCAGGCACAGGAATATTGCCCAATTTAATTGGTGTGGGCTTGGTGTTATTAATACAGGCTAGTAGTCACAAGTTTGAACAGGTATCGGTGGGCGTATAGACAGTCTAGAAAATATTGCAAGCAGGTGGAGACTTTATCCACTTCCAGACAGAGTTTGCAGGGAAGGTTAGAAGTTGCAAGCATAAGGTACAGAAATCAATTAAATAGTATACAAATGGCATACCTTAATAATACCATACTTAGAGTAATTTTAAGGTTTTCTTTCCAGAGGCAAGAGACTCCTTTTCATCATATCCAACCACACTACTGACAGATTATAGTTCTCCTCAATTCAGCCCTCTCTCTAAATGGCTCTGGATTCATTCTTGTTCCAAACAGTGAAGTGTCTTATGTGTAACAAAGAACATGAGTGAAATGCGTTTTTTTTTTAGACTCTAAGATTCCTAGGCTAACAGCACTGCTTCCAATGTAATGTCAAAGTGTAAACCAATTCAAAAGTTGTTCTGGGACCAACAAACTGACTCAAACATGTAAAAACAGACAAATATTAAACTATGACTTACAGACAATGCAATGATTTTTAGTTGGCATTTTTGTAAAAATACAGGTTTAAACACTTATAATCTCCCAGTGAAATAAAGAGCTGGTATTCAAATGAAGCCCATAATTCTTCCACCTCTGTAAATTGCTTGATCAACATTTCCAACTCTTTTGTATTCAAACTTTAAAAAGCAAGCCAAACAAAACCCTACAGTACTCCTTATTTCTGTATTCCTAAAAATACCAACAAGTGCTGCACGAACAAATACAGAAAACACATTATGAATAATACTAGATCACCAGGAATGGGTAGATGAGTCACCTGGCTGTAGTCTGCTATGTTAGATATTCATGCACAGGATTCCTGTGGCCCATGGTCTTTTGATTACAGATACTCATCGTGACCAAGTGAGCTTCATTAAACTGAGAAAAGATGTGAATGCCTTATGCATTCTTCATTCCATCATCTGCTACGTATGTTGTCACATCATAAAGTTAGATCCTGGCTAATCTTCTCAGGTATTTAAAGCTTTATTTAAATATTTTTGTATCTTCCAAATGTGACTGACTTAGAATATTTATTTCTTGGCTTAAGATCCTGTGTAATGATCCATCTGCTCAGTAATTGCTAATACTCTATTCTCTCTTTTTTGTGAGCTAATCATGGCCCCAGACAGCACGTACTCTCACATTAGATGTCAGGGAGGATAAAGGTCTTAGGAATGGTTATAAAATTTGATGGTGTAATTAATACCTTTATTATTGGCTTTAAACCTTTTAGTGTGAGACTATGATTTTAAGATGCAGACCTATGTCCCAACCTCTCCTCTGCTCAGGGAGAATGATACAGATCCCTTCAGAGTGCCCCTTCAGATGCACCAGGATAAGTATGCCTACGTCGTAGGGCAGGCATGCTCTGTGATGGACTTACATCCTACTCCATTAATTCTCCAGTTCAGGGGACCAACTTAATACCTTGCAGACATCTCCCAGTTCATACCATCGGGTTTCCTCTGCCAACAAGGGTGAAAGAAGGGAAAGATGCGTGTCTGGATGTCATCCTGACATGTAGCTGTAGCATGGGATTGGCTTGGTTTGTGGATTTGCGAAGTGACTCTAGGACATCAACTATGGACAACCAAACTCTGAGGAAAGGCCTTGGTCCCAATCTTTTAAAGTTGCCTATCCTTAGAAAATAGTCACAATCAAATATAAGGATGATGGTTGAAACTGGAGCCTGTAAGAGATATGCAAGGTACTTTCAGTCTCTTGCTGTCATTGTTCTAAATCAGAGATAGTCACACCCTGGCCATTACTGTTCCATCTTTTCTAGTGAAAATGAATCTTAATATGAAATTATTTGCTATGGATTTGTAAACAAAGGGTCCACTCCTGCTTCCAACAGCAAAGAGCCTGTTGTCTCCATAGGAGCAATACTCTATCAAAGGACCACTCATATGTACCCAGACCTTCTCTCAGAGCAATCTTGTTACCAGATTTTCAGTATGAAAGGGAGAAGCATTTAAATAAGACATGGATGATGGCAAATTTCTCAAATACATTAAGAATTTAGAATTAGCAATTTCTTAGAAGTCTTCAGACCCCTTTGGACTGAAATTACATCTACATCAGCAGCTTTCAAAATACTCTGAAAAAGTGCTTTGATTCACTTCACAAACCTTGATAGAGGACCACACAATGATGTATCATTAAAAATGACAAAAAGGATCAATGTGTTTGATATCTCATATGGTATTAACTGAAATAAATTGTAAATATTGGCCAAATTATATGAGTAAATTCAACAGCAAATCATATTTACATTAATTTGAATTTAGTATATTTAAAATTAATCTGAATTCTAAGGAATCTTTTTAACACTACTTCACTGGAAAATTACAGTGAATCCTACAAAAATGAGGAGTATTCCTTAGTACATTCCCAGGAGAGAGAAGGGCAGGCAGTGAGTGGCAAAGGTGGAGGAATGAGCGTGTTTCATGAATGTAGCTGCTTCAATATCCAAGGAAAATGAAAGAGAACTTCAAGGATATGGACCAATTTACCTATCTGGGAATAACTTTCCATTCTAAGAGGAGATGTGCTGGAAACTAGGTCCTGGCAAAATCTTTCAGTAAATCATTGATACACAGAAATTCATTTTAAGACAGCCAGAATCATCTGTGAACACAGTTAATTGAGTTTTGCTTGAAAAAGATAAAAGGTGAACAGCATCAGTACGTGTTTGTTTCAGTCCCATTAGATTTCAGTGGCCCAGGCTGGACTCGCAAGGGTGCCAGCAAGACGAGAACGAGAGGGCTGCAATGACAGTGGATACATTCCAATCTAAAGCATTAAACACTCTAGATTGAACTTATCAGTCAATTATTTGGTATGCTGTATTTTCCAGCAGTTTTTTAAGCATGCTTTAGAAATAAATTTTAGTTCCTGAACCACTGCCGTTGAATCATATAAAGAGAAATGCAACTTGTAATTGAAAAGCAACTACTGTTTTCCATTGTTAAGAAATGAAACAACATTGCATCTTCAGGTTTTGAGCAAATAAAATCAATTTTGATGAAACACAGTGTTGCATTAAACAGAGATTTTCTCACAAAAATCTGTTTAGACCAGAAGGTATTTTTACTGAAAAAAATGTTTTTTCCCAAATGATAATGTTTCGTACCTTATTTGTTGTATGTATTTTTAGAATGTGTTATGTATCACTAGATAACACTTGCAGACTGTTCCAGTTGCCGAGGTAACTATGTTATTTTAATGATCAGTGGAGAGGATCATTATGTAAAACACTATGTTAATTTCAAACACAGAAAATTGATGTCTTGCTGTTACCTTGAAGCTGCATCTTTTTTTTTTTTTTTTTTTTTTCCCACAAAGTGCCTTTTCCCATGGAAATTAATGGTATGGATAAGTGCTCAACATGCTTTTCATACTGATTCAGGTTGGCTTTAGAGGCAAATGCAAAAATGACACCTGACAACCAACTAATGGTAGATGAACAAATTTCAAATCACCAGTTTGTACAGAAATAGTATAGGAAAACTTGTTCCATAAATTCTTAACTAATATACAAGGACAATTGGCAGAAATTTTAGGAAGGCACATATCTTAATTTTTTAACTTTGAAATATATTAGTGTTTAGTTAAGGAAAGCAAATTACAAAGTGCGTGTAAGTATTGTTTGTGATTAAGTATGCATAAGTATTGTCCATGATACCGATCACCTGATGAAGAGATTAAAAAACTGACATTAAACTTTTGCTGCTTTAATTATATATCTACTAGATTACTAATTATACCAGCAGTACAAATGCCGTGAATTTGTGATTTTATTGCAATCATAAATGCTCTTTCCGAGGCTTCAGTGAGAACCGTGCTAATGTTAGTAGTTCATGGTGTGTTTCTGTCCTCAAACCTGCTTTCTCCATCAATAAAAAATCTGTACATTTCAAAATTATCAAAACTAGGTCTCACACAAATTCTAGGGCTCTTAATGACAATTGCTGCTTTAGCACACCAGCCTCACAAATACAAATTGTCTCAGGCTACCAAATGCAACTCAGTTTTGTCACCAGAATCTTTTGTCTCTTCTCTGGAGTTCTGCCTACGGATTGCATTAAACTATGAACGCTTCATTCTCTAGGTGGAACTGGATGCTTTTATGTGTTAGAACATGATATGCTCAAGACATCTGAGAACTCCTGTATCCTCCTGACACTTCATCATAATCACCTGATCCATTTTAGAGTCAGTGAACTCTTCTGACAATACTCAAAGTGCATTTTGATGGAGACTATTTATACGGACTGTACCTTTTCATTCCACGGAGCTTATTCGAATCTTTTCCCAAGGATTTCCTCTGCAGGCAAAGCTCTGACTTCAAAAGGCAGTAGCTTTCTCAAACTCTTTACCCATTACACCTATTACACTGGCCGTCTTCTATTTCAACCTTACTACCCTGACATGATTTTCAAACATGCTGAGGTTTGCCAATTTGTATACATCCCAGTGAGGACTGCAAGCTGAAAATGTGAGTGTGAAAAAACAGAATTGTATTAAATCAACTAGATAGTGTAAAAAGAACATACAACGATACAGCTGGGAATAAGCCATCTATTAACAAAGAGGATTAGGAGTTAACTTCCCCCTTCCAACAGTTTATGCCTCACTTATCCACTATGTGAGACCAAATACCTTATCCTGGAAAGTTTTGCTTTCATCCTTAGCATGGTGAAAATAGTGGGCTAAATTTTCAATCCTTGGAATGATTTAAAACTTTCTGACGGATAGCTTTCTGCTAGAAAATGCTGATTACACAAAATCTAGGAAAAATATTATTTTTGTAGAAATTTGTTGATCAAATAATCAAAACATGTTATTCTGTTGACTATTGAAATACACCAGAACGTTATGTAAAAAAATGAAAGTCAAATAACAGAATAAAGCGAAGTAATACTGAAACAAAACTCCTAAAGTGTATGCTTTATTTCAATCATTTTGATAGGTCCTTTTAGAGACAGTAAAAAAGAATTTTCAGAATTTTTGTTTCATGTAAAGTTTAAATTCTTGCAGGGAAAAAAATAAAAAATAGATCAATTTTTAGTCTCATTTTTATTAAGATGATACATACATTTCGGGGAGCAAGCACTCTGAATTATAGCAGCATCATTAGATCACAGCTCCATCACAGTTTAAATTTTTTTGCAAACAAATTTATCATATGAATAAATACAAGCATAGAATTAACAAGTAAAGATTAGTTAAGGAATGCTAGTGAGAAATAACATTACAAGAAGAAATAGGAAAAGGGGGGTCATTAAAAACAAAAAAGAAGCCAGCTGTGTTAAACCTGCTAGAGATGATGGAGCAGAGTTGTAAATGATGTAGAGAGCAACACAGAGCATGAGAACAAGATAGCAAGTGAAGAACATGTATTTTTGAGCTCTAATTGACATGAGCTGAGAAATACAGTTCGTAGAGAAAGAACTTATATAGAGTAAAATAATGACATTAATGAAAACAACAAGCTTGACAATACGGGATATAAAACCATATGCACAATGGGCCAGAAATATTCACATTGCAGCATTTATTCACTACCAAAAAAAAAAAAATTAACTATCTACATAATCACTTGTATGTTCACAGAATCTCTGTATTCCATCTGATTCATCTACAAAAACTTAACACACTTTTCTCACAAGTCTGATACTGTCAAGAATGTGCAGATAGAAGGGATTAAGAGACCACAACAAACTATAAACTGAGTTAAAATTCTGCCTATGGACATTTCCAATCAGTTCTTCCTAGAAAAACAGAAATAAAATTTACAGTAGCCAGCTTGTTTCAAGAGGGTACAGTGTGAATAGTGACTTGCAGGTACAACTTCCTAATTTGTATCAAATATTTAAGTTGTATCTTTGTGGCACCACTTACTTCTAAACTATTCAGTCTCCAAATACTTCCTGGTGAACTGGAAACATTTTGTATACTGTGCCTTCTCTTAGTTTCTAAATTTCAGTAATTTGAATGTTATCAACACAATGAAATGCTTCATTAGATTAAGTCATTAAAACTTAACACTCTGAGTCAGAAAATACAGAATACATTTCTGTTTGCAACCTTTCTTCATACAAGTTAATGTCTGCATGATAATTATCTTTGAATTACATTTATTATGTATTACTTTTTTGAGAGTCTTGCCTGGTTCAGTGCCCAGGGTGGATGCACAAGAAGGGGAGAATAAGCCTGAAGGGATATTCTTCTCAATTTGGAGTGAACCAGCAACTAAGTAATTAATAATCATAGATTTGAAAACCTGGAGTTACTGCTCCGATCATCCGCCCTATGATCACCCAGGCTGATCTCCACAGGAACCAAGACCACGTAATGTTCTCCATAACCCCAATCAAACGGATTATTTACATGTGGTTTATGTGAGGAAGTCATCCGTCGCAGAGTGAAACTTCAGGAGAGCCAAGATTCAGTAGTGCTTTATATAAACCGTCTCAGCACCCTTACGGTAACACAAAAGGTGTTTCATTGTTCCCAGCCTGAATTTGTCTAGTTTCTGCTAGTTCTGCAGCCCTTCGGTTCTTCTTAAGTCTTCGGTAGATGTCAGAGCCTCCCGTTATGACACAGCCTCCTGCGTGGGCGCTTACACACACACCATCACCCCATCGCCTCTTTTCCCCGCGTCCTCCGCGGAGCCCAGCGGGGGTTTCGTGGGGCCGGGGGGGGTGCCCAGACCCTCCCCGCCGGGCAGCCCGCGCCACGGCGCGCAGCCACCGCGCCGCTCCCAGCCGCCCCACGCGCGGGGACGGGACCGTCCTTCCTACGCCCGTGGGGACCTCCCACCCTCGCAGCCGCCGGCCCGGGCCCTCCCGCACCGCAGCTCTCGGGGGAGCGGTGCGCTCACCTCGGAAGAAACCCGGGATCCCCGCCGGCCACCGCCTCGTCCCCGAGGCGCGGTCGCGGCGGGGAGGCCGCCCCGGGGCACCCCTGCCGAAGCTCCGTGGGGGGGCCGCAGGGCCCGGCCCTCCGATCCCACGAGGGACCGCCGCCCCGCGTGTCGGGGTGGCCCGGCCGCAGGCCGGAGCGGCGCGGCGCGGGGGGAAACGGGCGGGCGCGCCCCGACGGCCCCAGGCGGAGCGGGGCTGCCCCCCCACCCGCGGCGGGACTCCCCGCGCTTTTCCTTCCCCTCACGACGGTGCGGCGGGAGCGGCGGGCCCCGGCCGCCGCCCGGCGGCTGCCCCGCTGGCCCCTCCCCGGAGCGGGGCCGGGGCCGGGGCCCGGCGGCCCCACGGGAGAGCGGCGGCCCCGCCCGCTGCCCGGGCCGGCCCCTGGACGGCGGGGCCGGGCGGCGGCGCGGGCAGGTGAGCGGCCGTGAGGCGAAGCCGCCGCCGCCCCGCGGGGCCTGCGGGCGGTGAAGGCGAGGGAGGAGAAGTCGCCGTGGAGCGTCGCCTTCCTCCGCAGGTGTCCCTCCCGGCCCGCGGGCAGCGGCGGGGAAGGTGGCCCGGGAAGATGGTGACTGTGGTGACGAAGCTGGTGCACTACCTGCACCTGAGGTAAGGGCGGGCGGGCGGCCGCTGTCCCGCGCCCGTCCCGCCGGGTCCACGCCGCCCGCCCCACCCGTGAGCCGCGACGCCGCCTCCGCCGCGCCGGGGTGCGCCGAAACGGCGGGGAGAGAGCGGGAGGGGAGCTTCGGCGGCGACCGCCGGATGCTTGGCGGTGTGGGAGGGACGCGCGTGACAGCGAGGGGCGGCCGGCGCCGCGGGTGGGAGCGCGGCCGCTGCCGCAGCCGGTACCGGGCGCTGCCGGCCGCCTCCGTGGGCGCTCCCGGCGGCGTCGGGCTCCTTCCAGCCCTGCCCTGGCGCCGCGGGAGGGCAGGGCGCTTTGTGGAAAATAAGGATTATTAGTTTATGGTCCGAAAAGCCCGTGCCCCCACTGTGCTTGGTTGGCGTGATTGCAATAGCGTGGATCAGACAAACTGCGTGTTGCTTCTTTTTTATACGGCTTCTGGCAGGATACGTTACTAAGCCGTTTCTCACACTATTATTCTAATCAGAATTTAGCAGATAAATACAAATATTTTTGTTGTATTGAGTGGGGAGAAAGCAAAAAAAAAACAAAACAAAAAAACAAACCAAAGGCAGTCCTGGTGATGTTCTACGTGTATTTTGTTGAATCACAATTTTTCTCCTGTACATGAACACTTCATGTGCATCAACAGACCTGACTGAAAACAAAGAAAATGTATCAAGAGGCAGCATACAT